TTTTCCCATGACCATGAGATGCTCTCTTTGACTTAAGCCACTCAGCACAGGCCCATCTTTGGAGCTGTGAAGTAGCTTCAGCCTCATCCAAATTACATGTAAGGTCATGCCAATATACATAACTTCCATAGAGCGGGAAATAATTATGGAACAGATAACCAATGGCTATTCACTTCAGAAAACTTGTTTTTTGAAATATTTCTGATGGTGACGTGTTTATTGTACCTGGTTAGATTATGTATAGAAATAAAAATACTTCTAATGGTATAAAACAAGTAGCTATATAATTTTAATTTTAAGGAAGAATTCTGTTTTAATTGATTTACATGTATATTCTCATTTAGTCTTCACAGATGCTATAACAGGAAAGTAATAATATTATTCTCCTTTTATTGGTGGGTAACTGAAAAGAATATGTTGACTAATGTTATTCAGCCAGGAAATCAATAAAGAGAATAAGAGTTTAAAGCATTATGTCTTAAAAAATATAAAGTGTATTATTTTGGGAAGAGATTAAATAGTTTACTTAAGATGATATAATAATTATATATTAGAATTGTGAGGGGAGACCACCCTTCTTATAAATTGTTTTCAATGTCACACTTTAAATTTTCTTTCTGAAGTAAATTACAAATGTTATAGTTTAAAGCCAAATACATAGTGGTTGTTTTATTATTTGCTTATTACTGAAGTCATAAACTCAATTAATATTAAATGAGAAATTTTCTGTGTAAAGTTATTATATAAAAACTGACAAGTAGAATATACTTATACAATTGGTAGCTACTTGGTTAATGGGAAGTCAAATTATACAATAAAATAATGGTTTTTGAAATCATGATAGTTTTCCCTTCTTTGTTTCATATTCTTTAGCATTCATTTTTTGTTACTTCATTAATATCATAGGTACTTTTAAAGCAATGTTTAAAAAATATCCTCTATAATAGCTAATAAATAACCTGAACATCAAAACAAACATCCTCAGGTATTCAAAATTATCCTTCAAAGTATAATGTAAAGAACACAGAGCTATTGAAACAAAGAAAACTAAGCTAATGAACCAAAAGAAGAGGCATAGCCACTGGCCTTACATTTATTTCCAAAGAAAACCAAACTACGAAATATAAGGAGTATAGAATATATGGGCCAAAGTCTGACCATAAGACCAGAAGGTATCTCTGCTTGCTCTTCCACCCATGTATACAGAAGCTCCCTTCTGAAGCTCATGCCTTTCTGCAGATCTGCATGTGCTGACTTCTTTATCACATCTAGGTACGTGTCCATGTCTGGAAGACTTATGAAGTAAAACTAATTTAGCTATAATGCTCAATATATCACAGTGTGCATCTATGAGAAAAATTATCCTTTGTAAAAGGAAAGAACATACCCAAGGTCGCTGGTTTACACTAATGCTTAAGTCATTCCAGCCAATAATTTTGAGATTCTGTGTCAAGAATGGTAAAGGATTTGAAATGTTACTCTAGTGCAAAAAGGATAGATACTGATAGAATACAAAGATTTCCTGTATGTTCACAAACAGAAGTTTAATATTCACAGAAACAGCAAGAGCCAGAGTATCAGTAATTTCTATGCTTGTCCTCTGAGTCCCTTTTGAATACCCAATGTACCTGCACACATAATGAGTTGTGTTACGGCAGAGGACATATGAGATGAGGGAATCTTTATCTTCTGTAATGAGCAATAAGTGAACCTGCCTTGAATTCCATATTTCAAAACTGTTTCCTGTAGATATATGTGATATTTTAAAAGTTTTCTATACAAACAGTCTTGAAAAAGACAGTCTAGAACATTAAGAAAGACAT